CTTATTGTAAGAACAAATGTATTCACGTGTGACTTTAATAACATTTCTTACTTAATGGAAACACTGCAGTCGCGAAACTGTTTTTTCGACATTAACAGAATATCGACAAAGTTTTGCGCACATTTGTAATGGAAACACAGCTACTGACATTAGGAAGAATAAAGTGAATACCCATTAAAACTGCCTGGTTATTGTCTTTGAATGAGCGCAGCTGGTTCTGGTTCTGATGGAGCGGGTCTTGTGTGTCCTGACAGGGTGGAGCTCATGGACTATCTGGACAGCATTGACTGTAGTCTGGAGGACTTCCAGGCCATGCTGTATGAGAAACAGTTTGGAGTAGATTTTGACTCTTTGGAGGTAACGACTGTTTGTGACCTCGAGTTAAAGGAAGTGAACTCTGACCTGGTGTGTGTGTGTACCTAGTGTTTTATTGTGTTGAATCTGGTGTTTGTGTGTTTTTAGGAGAACACTTGTAAAGAGAACACGAAGCAGCCAGTCAAAGAGAACACAGGTGGGTACAGACAGGTCTGCAGGTCCCTGCAGGTCTCTGCCTGACTCGTATCCTGTTGTTGAATCAGACTTTGTGTTGATCTCCTGTCCAGATAAACAGCTGATCCAGTACACCTCCTGCCCCCTGCTGGCCTTCCTGGACGGTTACACCCTGTCTTCAGAGCTGGACCTCGGTCCTTCTGGCACATCGAGCACAGACTCGGCCCAGACCCAGCCCGTGTCCTGCTCCGGGGTCTGCGTGGACTCTGAGCCGCCCTCTGAGCTGCTGGACAGCAGTCTGGACTGGAAGCAGGTCCCTCACAGCTCCCTGATCCGCCTGGAGCCTCTGACGGAGGCCGAGGCCAGCCAGGAGACRCTGTTTTACCTGTGTGAGCTGAGTCCAGCTGAGGCCGAGGCCGGATCCGATCCAGCTGAGGAGAACCTGGAGGAGCACAGGCTGCAGTCCTCAGGCCCGTTAAAGTCCTCTGAGCTCAGTTTAGGTGTTTGTGAATAAAAGATGGACAGCTCTTCTTCTCAACGTGTTGACTGAAAACGGTTCTGCTGGTCCAGATCAGTCCTCCTGGATCAAACAAACTGGGTTCTGGTCTGTGTCTGCACAGCTTTGTTCTACGTTCAGAACCAGTTTGTTCTGCTCTCACAAACATCAAGATTTTCAAAGTAAAACAACCTGAAGATCAGTTTTTTTCTGTCATGTCTCAGTAGAGTTTTTAAAACATCTGCTGAAACATCATCTTTCCTGGTTCTGGTTCTGGTTCTGGTTCTGTGCTGCGGAGCTTCCAGATGGTACCTCAGGTGGTTCTGTTCCTCTCTGACACCAGTAGCAAATGTTTGTTGGAGCTGCTGTCAGAACCTGAACCGCTCAACATTTCACACATACAACAGAAKCTCTTCAAGAAAATCTGGACTTTTCACTTGTTTTGTTGGACACAGAACTGGTTCTTACTGAAACCCTGATCTGGATCAYGGTTTCAGGAAGAACCACATTAAAGACCAGGTGCAGGAGTTCTGATATGTTTTAGATTAAATGAACCAAAACAMAAAGTTCTGTTTGCTCCTGACGTCCAGGAGAATTCAGACAAACTGAGATATGAGTCTGGTGGGTCAGCTGAGGTTCTGGACCATCTGAGGCCGGGTGTAGGGTCTGTGGGACCGGACCTTCTGTTTGGAGCTGAGCTGTAATTTATTTCTGCTTTCTAATAAAAACATGACTTTATTCTCTGTAGTTGTTGTGAGCCATGAACCTGAAATAAAGTCTTCTTTCGTAACATCTGTAAGTGGTTAAAATGATAAAAATAGAAATGATTTCAGTGAACAACAGATCTGATTCATCTGTTAAATCCCTCTAATAATAAATCACAAGACGACTGCAGATAAATACATTCATTCACCACAAATAACAGAAAATCACAGCTGACAACTTGTTTGTTTACTTTCTTTTTTTTTATTGAAACTTTTAACGTGATACAAAATATAACAATACAGCCAGGGGGAATGAACATCTGTAAGTGAAAAAGAAAAGAGGACAGATATATATATCT